GTTACCAAAATTGTAATAAATCCTGCGGAGTGCGCATGTTGCAAAATTTGAGTTCGTCTAAACTGCCGTCAGTGAAAAAAATGGCCAAAATTTTGAAAAAAAAATCACCAAAATGTCTATTTTCAAACTGTAATGTTCCTCGCATATAAAAATAAATAAGATAGAAACAAAGTTCATGAAATAAGCTTTTATTTGGCATGCATTATGTTTTTATGGAGATATTGAATGAAATAACACAGCGAGTTGAATATATGCCTTTTTTAGTGTTTCATCGGCTGTAAGCTGAGTGTTGGGATATCTTACCTAGGCTCAACGTGAACTTACACACCCTAGTGCAGGTCGGTATTTAAGTCATGCCATTACAAAATTGTCATATACAAAAGACTGTTGCTGTTGGTATGACTGCTGGTGACTGAGCAGACACACCCTGGACGGACATATCCAATTGCATTGGGCACATGGCCAGGCTGGTACCTTATGCCAATTCAGGGAATCTTTCTGAACTCTTTTTATTTCTGCATATTTTTGTGATGCCTCATGGAAGATCTTGATGCTGTCAGCAATATCAGCTCTCCAAGAAACCCAGACTTCATATATTACATACACGCACACACACACAGAGGATGTGATGGTTAAATTGTCACCATTTTATATTTTTTTTATTTTGTGCATGTGCCCTGTTTGTTTTTGCTGACTGCACAGTATAGTAGGGTCAGTTGGGCACTGTGAGTAAAAGAGTACCATGATGCAATTCACTCTGCCAGAAATTTGGAAAAGGCATGCTGTACTGCTTGGCATTCATGCTGGAAGCTCCAATACAAACATTTCAGAGTGTTTGGGTGTCAATCTGAGGACAGTGCAAAGGATTCAGAAACAGCTGGATGAGTCTAATGGTGATTATGAAAGTACAGAAGCTCTGAGAACTCACTGTTCATTCTGATAAGAAAAGAACTCCTGAATTCCTCAAACTCAACACAAAAGCCTGCACTAAGTGTCGTGAAGAGATAGTGTTGCTGGAAGACCCTATATCATGGACCACATAAGCAGGATAACCCAGTCATGACCGTCAAAGAATTTCTGCAACAACATCACCCCCTTACATCTGGCCACCTAACTCCTCAAACTACAACCTCCTTGATTATTATGTGTAGGGTGCAGTTGAGTTAGTGGACAAAAAAATTCCTTATAAGACCAAAGATGAACTGAAGATAAAGATTATGGCAGCATTCCCCAACTAAAACAAGGAGACCATCCAGAAGGGTTGCAGGAGATTCTGAAGTCATGTGGAGGCCGTGCTTGAAGAAAATGTTCATTTTATTGAATAAATTTACTCTTTAGTATTTAAAAATATTTTTAAAATATATCTGTTAAAATGAGTTGTCAGTATTATTTTCATTTTTGTGCAATTTATACAACAATTTATCCATCATACCCTGTGTGTGTGTGTGTGTGTGTATATATATATATATATATATATATATATATATATATATAGCCTAAAGATTGCATTCAAGCATGAAACAGACTGTCAACACTTGGTGTTGAACTCAGTGTCCACTTTATTTATTGCAGGAAAAATATCTAAAAAGTTATTGATTATCATAATAAAAAGCTATTCAATAGCATCAAGGATGTACAAAAACCTAGGTGCAATTGTCGGATTAAAAGTGCTTGTCTGATGGAAGGTAATTGCATGGCTGAAAGTATATCTAGTGAAAAAGGAAGCAGAAAATAGAAATAGTGTTTACGGGAAGAGGCTATACATTGGGGCCATTAAAAAGAAAAAATGTAGAAAGAGATATTATAGTAAATATAAAAATGTGATGACACTGTCAGCCTATTACTGGACTATTAAGTACACAGAAATTACTTGGAAAATTCTTAGGAAAAGTGGAGCATGTAAAAATACCAATAATAGTTATAGGCTTTGGTTAGGGGAAAAGTTTGCTATATTAAGTTTGAGCAGTGATCCTAAAAAGGTTAAAAAGTCTAAATTAATCAGCAGGTGTAGGCATAGTATAAAACACTTACTGTGTAAGCTGCCATGGACTAGTGGCTTTTCCTCCTTTTTTGATTAGTCCATATGTACGGAAAAAGGTTGAAAGTTTTGTGGGCCACCAGGAACCTCTTCTCACCACTATCAAATGGAGAAAAATGGCATGGTTTGGACATGTTACAAGGCATGACAGCCTGTGCAAGACCATCATGCAAAGTACTGTTGAAGGTAGGAGAGGAAGCCAACATAAAAACTGGTTGGGCAATGTCAAACAATGGACAGGTATGACTATACCAGAATTGCTGATGGCTGCGATTGACAGACCATTTTGGAGAAGATTCTGCATTTGGATCCCCCTTACGATTACAAAAGTCAAGAGGATGGTGATGATGATAAGTTCATACATGGGTTTTTTTTCTTTGCTTATTTTCTTTCCTCCATGAGGGTGACTGATATACATGGGTCTTTTTTCCTATGATGCAATAAGTTATGGCACAGTATGGTATTTGAATAGGTACCTCCTTTTATTTGCATTTTGGTCACCTAAAAATCACAAAGAACTTGAGAGTAGGAAAGGGCAAGGAGTAGCTCATCTGGAGATTAGCATCAGCCATTGTGACAGAAAGCAAAAATGGTTCTCTAAGATGACTAAAAGATAGTTTAGTTTTGGAGGCATCAAAGTTTACAAATTATTTCTTGCCCCAGCTAACAAGAGATTAAAGATCATTTTGGAGATCAGCTGCCAGTTTTATATTAACAGACTTATTGGACTATTAAGACAGGAGTAAATAGTCATATCATCAGAATAGATATCATGTTGGAAACTGATGACATTGGGAAGGTTGTTGATGAAGATAAGTAGGTTCAAAGATAGAACCCTGGGAGAAATGCTTAACAAATATTTGGTGTTGATTAGAGCCTCTAGTTCTTTGCTAAAAAGAGGTAGAAGACTAATATGGTTTGGTTTTTGTTTTACGGCATATCAATCTCAATGGGTTATTTAATGTCAACAAAATTTTTATTGTTGGTAATATTTCTTTTTTTCAAAAAACTATTTCTGGTAATATTTTTTCTTCAAATATGTACTGCTGGTAATATTTTTTTTTTCAAAAATATACTGCTGGTAATATTTTTTTTTTCAAAAATGTATAGCTGGTAATTTTTTTTTTTTTTTTTTTTTAAATGTATAGCTGGTAATAATTTGTTTACAAAGTATTTCTGGTATTAAAATCTATTTTTACACTTTAATAGAGTTTTGGTCCTAATTTGTTTTGGTTTGTTTTATGACAGATCAACCTCCATGGGTTATTTAATGCTGACAATTTTTATTGCTGGCAATATATATTTTTCTCCAAAAATCTATTTCTGGGAATATTTTTCCTTCAAAAAATGTTTACCTGGTAATATTCTTTCTAAAAATATATAGCTGTTTTTATTGCTGGTAAATTATTTTTTTTTTTTCATAGTATTTTGACCCAAAATTGGGTGTTAACTAGTTGCTCATAGCTGGGACCCTAACAGGTGCTACCACCCTGGGTCAGGGCAGACCTGAGGACACCAGCAATTAAGAGGTGGTTCCATGCTCCTCAAAACCTCCTGATCAGAGGCCTTGCTGTTAGATGTAGTTTATTGTCTTACCCAGGATGCTGATGTAGCTTATCGTCATACCCAGGCGGAAGACTAATATGACAATAATTCGAGGGATCAGATCAGCAACTTCCCCACAGTTCTTAAAGACTAACTACAGAAGAAGATTTCCAACAAGCTGGAAGGCAAGAAGTAGCAAGATTCTTGTCAGTTCAGGAGCACATTTCTTTGAGACAAATGCAGGGATACTGTCAAGTCCACATGCCTTGTTGGTTGTTGATAGCAGAAACCATGGATGGAATAGATTTGGTTCTAGTAGAAAAATCAGGCAAAGATACTTCTCATGACTTGAGAGTGGGGTTGGAAGAGAACTTACAAGCAAAGTATTCTGTTTTATCAGCAATAAGTGTCAAAACTTCAAACTGATTGAAAAGAGGATGGATTGAGGATTTACCCATTGTTTAACACTTTTACAGAGCCTTCAATAATCACAAGAACTAAACTTAGGAGAGGCTATAGACAGTGTCACATTCTGTTGACGAATAGTGACATAACATCATTTAAGACAATTTACAAAATTACATATAGATACAAAGAAGCCTCTATTATGATCTGAACTATCATATTTGTATAGCCAGAAGAAGTGACTCCTGTGGGCTATAGCAGCTGAACAGGCAGGAGTGAACCAAGGATAAGATTACAGTTTCACTTGATATTTCCACAACAGCATGAAAGCATCGATGCCAGCTTCACACAAGAGGAAACCTCAGTGGCACACTCTTTAATGGAGTGTTACAAAGAAAAGCACGAATCCCAATCAGTGTGGTGGTAGCAAAATAATGCTTTTTAGATAGGTTCCTACCTAATAGACAAGTGGAAAGAAATAGACATTACAGTATGATCTGAGTTGTCAAGAGGGCAGAGTTGCAAGGTGCAAAAAAGTCTGGAGAGGAGATAAGGAACAGATCTGGTAAAGAAGCATATCTGTCAAAATCACTAGGCTAACAAGTAGGGAACTCTATTTGATTGAGAGATGGAGCAAATGAGAAAAAATCAAAGTCTGGATACTGGCAAGATAAGTGGTATTAGAATGAAGCCACTTGACATGATGAACATTGAAGCTGCCAAACACAAAGATATTTGCAGATGAATATAGATTGATTGATTTGTTCTGTACAGTTTATCAACCTTTTGCAGGTTATTTATTTTATTTTTAGATTGTAAGAATTTTTTTGGAGATAATATTGACTTAGTGATACAAATCTTACTAATTAACCCATAGCTGGGAGGAGAAAAGGTGGATTCATACCTTTCCACAGGTATTTGCACGTAAGTGAATATAACAAACCCAACTGGAACTCGGCTCTCCAATTAACAATTCTGAGTCATTATCCATTACATCACCTGCACATCATAGCTTACAGCACCTGGAATTCCCAAGTGGTAATCAATCTAGGTACTAACCAGGCTCAACATTGCTTAACTTTGGTGATTGTATGAGAACCGGTGTTCCAACATGATATTGCTGTAAGCCTATAATGTTTATAAGAGATAAACATTGTGGACATCATGTTTCACTGTGTTGCAATTTTATTTTTAGCCAGCAAGCATGTGTGCTTTCATTTTCATAATACACTGTAAAATAATACAGTCTAATTATATCAAATTTCTTAGCTGTTATCTCTGTCATGATTAAATGGACAATGTAATGTATTCAAACTATTATATATATATATATATATATATATATATATATAGAGAGAGAGAGAGAGAGAGAGAGAGAAGAGAGAGATTTCTATACTGTCAGATATTCTAACAAGCTACGTTTCTGAGAAGAAGATGAATGATAAAGAAAGAGCGAACAGAGTTTAATAATGAAAGTCAAAAGCACATAAAAGAACAATCCAGAGACTCAACAGACAATTCTGTTGCCATTGGGAGATTTTCTCAAATCTAGATACCAAGGCCATGCATGTACACTGCAGAACCCTTTTGATGGAGTGGAAGATAGTTGGGAGCAGAGAATTCATTGGTAGAGATTTTGAGCTTCAGTTAGTTTCACAGAGCATTAGAATGTCTGGAGGGCATTCCAAGAGAAAAGATTCTAAATTGCAGAAATTGGTATGAATATCACAAATGTTAGAGAGGTGGTTAATCAATTGTTGTTGGTTGACACTTTGCCTGATGTCATTGTTTCTGATGTGGTTGGTTCATTAAGCACCCAGCATATATCTGTAACATGTGGTCCAAAAGAAGTTCAGCATCTTCAGAGATCGTTTAGTTATTGTCTAAAATCATGTATCATAGACTGACATAGATAGAACAAGGGAATCAAATAGTTGGTGTTTTAACTTCAGTTTAAGGGTCAGTGATGTCCATATTTTCTTCAGTTTCCAGAACTTTGCTATGACTACAGCTTGTCGCAACTTAAAATTGTTGAAGGAAGAAATGTTTCTGGGGCCAATGTATTTAAAGTCATCTACTACTTTGATGGTCTCTCTATTGGGCAGTTTTATATCAGTAATATTGGTGTCAAGCTGCAGGTTTCTTTTTTTTGGTGTGGTGGGGGGGTATTTACACATAATATAGTTTATATAAAACTATTTCTATGCTGAATAGTTTTCTTACAAATGGTCTGTATGTTTTTAAAAAATTCAAGTGATGATTTGTCTGTTTGAAAAGCAGAAGCAGATAGTAACAGCATTTATATAATATTTTACCTTTTTCTTGAAACCGGTTTTGCAACTTCTACTATTTATATACATAATTTCCGAGTAACAATTTTCACATGCAGAAGAAAAGATAAAGTAAAATCAGGATTTGTCTAAAAGAAACAGAAGCAACATGCATTAATACTTAACCATTTCCTTATTTAAAATTCAAAGTATAATACACATTTTATTTAACCCTTTAATGATATAAGTATTCCTATCAGTATATAGTAGGAATAATAATATCATCAAATAGTATTTAAATATCAAGGCCAGCGCATACTACCCACTAACCTCACGACCGTGGGTGGGGATATGGTTGGGGGCCTGCAAGCAATGCTTTTGACCCTTGCTATCTTATCAACATTTGCTTTTGTCAGCCTATATTTTTATATATGTTACAAATTAAACTATACAAAACTGACTATTAAAAGATGAAAAATTTTCACAGATTTTGACATCATTCTGGGTTCATCTTTTTTTTTTTGCCCATGAATTTGCTCATGAAAACATGATATAAAATTCACTATTTTTTTATCCATAACATTGAATGCGTTAGAATTTTTCAACATTTTAGCAAGAAAAATTTCAAGTTGATGTTAAAACCTGCCACAAAAAATTGATTTATTTAAGATGGAATCATCTATTGTGACATGTCACTAATTTGTATTTAAATACATTGGATTTATTTTCAATTTTTCTACTTGAATTGTTTGCTTATATTGCATATGATCTATTATTGTACATAATTAGGTTAGAATAAAATCTGTATTTTATATGAATACTGCCTTATGATAATTGAGATGTAGTAGAATGGGTGGGGCCTATATCATAGATTCGGTGGATGCCCACAAGACCCTTGCACTGACCTTGCTAATTATTCTCACCACTTTATGGGAAGTATGCCAATAATTCTTGTCAAAAACATTTCAGCAATGTGAAAATGAGATTTTGGATGTCAATTTTTGCATTTCTGCTGAATATTTTGAGTGATAAATCAAAATATTCACCCACACTTTGTTAAGCATGTTTTTTTTTCTCTCTCATACAATCACCTAAATGCTAATTTAATGCACCTGTGAGAGATTTTATGGTAGGTCATATGATTTTTTTTTTTCATTGATTGTAGTTTGTTGTCATTGAAAGAGTATTTTTTGTTGTTGTATTAATTGAGATTTTTCTCAACTGATTTGCACTGGTTGAAGAAAATATTTTTGTCATTAAAAATTCTTCATGGAATCAGAGATGAAATATCCTGGGATAATCCTAAAGGTGGATGATTATCCCCTCATTAAATTCACTAAGAAAATAAAATGCACATTGGTTTTGAAGATCTTTTTTTAGTATTAGGGAAAAAGAAAAGAAAAAGATGCTTGGTCATTTGGCCAAATTTTGTGAAATGGATCAGGTGAGGACTGTTAGCATTCCAGTGTGTGTGTGTGTATATATATATATATATATATATATATATATATATGGTGGACTCTCCGTTGTATTTGGCATATGAGGATCAAGTAGCTCACTTCCTAGGAACTGACAGCCCAGACACCAGCACATGTGATTTGATTATAGTGGTGAAGACTGTGTAGAACTAGCCACACTTTTTGAAGGGCTGAATACAGAGACCTGGTGCACTACATGCCACAAGGTCCCCAAACGACCCTCTGCAGGTTTTGAATTCTGAGTTATCCTTCTCCTAGACCAGTTGCCATCCAAGGCTATAAAACACAGTCTGACAAGCTATTTACCCATAGCTGGAGGGAGAAGAAGAGGGTTAATACCTTTCCCAAGATTATTAGCATGCAAGTGAAAGTAATGGATTAGACTGGAATTCAAACTCAGCTCTCCGATTCCTCAATCCGAGCCGCTATCCACCAAGCCTCTTAATATATATATATAATCTGAGTATACATTCTGCTTATCTATTAAACTGTAGATTTATTTATTTTCATCTACTGCAAATAAATATACTCTTTAATAAATAAACCGAGTGTCTATTCAAATACGAGTATCCACTAAAAATAATGTTTAAATAATAAAAATCTAAAATAAATTTTTTTAAAAATCCATATATATATATATATATATATAAATAAATAAATAATCATAACTGATGCTATCCTCCAGGAAAGTGACTCATGCCTTTCCGGGCTCACGTTCTCTGTTGATGTGATGTAGAAAGACTATATTGAATCCATTACTATGTCAGGCACTAAGAAAGTCAATTCACTATGGAGGGTGAGACAGTTTTTCTCTCCAGAATCTATCTTACATATCTATGTCTACCATTCATCCATGTTTAGAATATTGCTGCCACATATGGTCTGGTGCCTCTGCTTTTTATCATGAGCTCCTTGATAAGATCCAAAAAAGAATCTGCAATATTATTGGTCCTGATCAGGCAGCTCAGATCCAGTCATTTTCCCCACCACCATAAGGGTGTCTCTTTATGTCTTTTCTATAAATACTTTCAAGATAATTGTTTGATATGATCTCTTTGGTATGGCACCTAGAGTTTTTGAATTTAAGTGAAGCACTAGGCTGCTGTCGAGATCTTATCAATTTACAGTTGAGCTGGCTAGATGTAGTCACTAAATATTATGCTAACAGTTTCTTCTCTCGTACTTCTTGCTTGTGGAATACCTTTCTGGCTTCATGCTTTCCAGCTAACTTTAATCTGCAAAATTTTAACTGCAATATCAATTGCTATCTAATGTTCACCTGATTACTGTCTTCTCTTTCTGCTCATCATTAATGTTTCTTTCTGTTCCTAATTCTTTCACACCCTGTAACACCTTGGTTTTAGTGGTATTACTACCTTACTTAGAGTAATTCTGATAAAACACATACATACACACATATATATATATATATATATATATAGGTCAGCATTTTATATTTTTAATTTTGTGTATATGCATTGTTTGTTTTTGATTTTGTCAACTGCACAGTATAGATATTTTTGTATAATTTTGGTAAAATCTGTTAAAATGAGATATCAGTGTTATTTTCATTTTTGCATAATTTAGACGACAATTTATCCATCGCAACTTCTTTCTCTTTGTGTGTGTGTGTATATATATATATATATATATATATATATATATATATACATAAAAAGAAAGAGATTTGTATATATATATATATATATATATATATATATATATATATACACACACACATATACAAAGAGAAAGAGGTTGTATATATGTAACATAAAATTGTCTTGGCATTAAATTATAATCGTAAATGTTATTTATCATGAAATCTGGTTTTCTATAAATGTTAAAAGATTCTGTAAAATGTTGAAGTTTCAATGACAAAATATTTGAAATTTAGGAAAATGAAATTTATGACTTAGTAAAGAGCCTTTTGATATTTTTATTTAAAATATAAGTTTTGCTTCTCTCAATTATACCAGTGAGCATCATCAAGCCTGTAATGGAACCAAAGAGCTGTCTTTCTAACTTATTGTTGTATCAGATTTGTAAGTATTTGTTTAAATATTTAGAATTTAAAATAATCATCAGCTTTGAATATATTTTCTTCTTAATAACACATATGCAGTATGATTAAAAGAGAAATTTATTAAAGCAGAAATATATTGAAAGTTCATTAATTTCAGAATACTCTATGGTCAATTTAAATCCATTTCATCATATAACATATCTTCTATCCTCACAAGACTGCTGCTGATACAATGCAGAGTAAATATGAAACAATACTAATAAAAATTAAAAAAAAGCAAAAAAAAAAAACAAAATTAAAAAAAAAAAAGCTGAATGAAGTGGGCTAAGTTAACCAACTAAATACATTAGATGTCAGAATTTAAACTTAAATGCTGAGTATCTCTATAATTTTAACCTTTCAATGTAAACTGTCATCAATATTTCTTATACCCCCCCACTCATTTTATATATAAGACAGATACTATCACAAAAACTGTCACTTGGTCTGAAATTCTCTTTTGGAATGTGTTATATCCTTAAAGACATTACAGACAGACAAAGGTGGTACTCAAGTGAAGGAACAGCAACACGCGCATAGATGAAAAAAAAAGAAAGGTTTATTATAAAAGAGAATACATTACTGAAAAACAGGGAATTGGGTAGCAGGCTAGTAATTCCTGAAATAAGTCCCCAGGTGTATCCTGTGCTCACTATATATATATATATATATATATATATATATATATATATATATATATATCTACTGATATAGTCAGTCCACATAAGTGAAAGGGATCGTCGGACATTCCATTACAACACCTCACCCTGAGCTAATTTTCCCATTAAATTTTGCTCAGTACCTCTTCTTTTTGGGGTTAGGACATAATTGTTTGACTTTTTCCTCTTCCTAGTACTTCTCCATCTCACCAGAATAAAAACATGTCATTTATTATTTTTTTTTTTCATTTTGACATTCACTTACCCACTATTTCAGATTATTTCATCAAATACATCAGTTTGATGCTTTGGTACACATTATCAGTGATTTTTTTTTAGCCTCCTCTGTACAGTGACACAGCCGATACTGATTGGATATGGACTATAATGATAAACAAAAACTTCAAATTCTCGAGGTCCTCTATATCAAAAGCAACCAACATTCAACAAAATTTAATACGAGTATAGCAGTAATGTGTTGAAGTGCATATAACAAATATTTAATGCCAGTTTGCATGCTACCAATTTCCAGTCAACTCCCTTATACTGGGATGCTTGTTTTGCAAAAAATTCCATAGCTATAATGGATAAATTTAAAATTTTAAAAATTATAACTGAACATGTTCACACAGGTTTTTTAAAAAATCACAACAAAATGCAGATTTTATCATAGTTACAATAAGTTTGTCTTTGTACATTTACTCCTGAGGATGATCTTGGAGGAGATTGAAAGTACTTGGGTAGGAAAAAACTATGGCACCTTCCTTGATGAATTTCATCTTAACATTAAGAAACTGATTAGGGAAGTGGAAAGGATCAGTATAAAAATAAATAGATTATATGCCTATATTATTCAATGGAACATGTTTGAATGAAGATATGCTGCCTCTCTCTCTCATATATATATATATATATATATATATATATATATATATTAAGGCATAAAAAGCAAAAAATTTTATATTATAGGCCATGATAGATTTAAAACAAAAACACACACCAGTTGACTGGTTTCGTCCCCTCTCATCAGAACTGTTAACGGGGAACTAAAATTATGAGGAAAAGGAAAAGAAAAAGTCTGTCATGGATGACATGAATGAGTGAACAGGGAGAAAAAAAAAAATTATTATAAACATTATACCAACAAAGATGCTAGAAGCGCAGCACAGCAAGTCCAAGCAAACAATCTCTTTGTTTTCACACTCATTCCATCTTAAGGTGTTGGAGATGCTTTACATCAGGTCCAGGCAACCTGCTCTTTGTAAACAAAGAGATTGTTTGCTTGGACTTACTGTGCTGCGCTACTAGCATCTTTGTTGGTATAATGTTTATAATAATTTTTTTTTTCTTTTCTCCCTGTCCACTCATGCATGTCATCCATGACAGACTTTTTCTTTTCTTCATAATTTTAGTTCCCTGTTAACAGTTGTGATAAGAGAGGATGAAACCAGTCAACTGGTGTGTGTTTTTGTTTTAAATCTATCATGGCCTATAATATAAAATTTCTTGCATTTTATGCCTTAATACACTTCTGTACTGTTTCAAACATATTTAAATATATATATATATATATATATATATAACATTCAATAATACACATATAATTAATAATGATCAACATTAATATCTTTTCTTAAGAATACATGAAATTAATGAATAATAAGGAATATGTAATAAGTTTTAAAAATGCTAAACATGCTGTAATATTAATAAATTCATATTAAAACAAATCTATGAACAGGATAAAATAATCACATTATCCTCAATAATCATCAATAATAACATATATCCTTGTTAACCCTTTAATACCCACCTGATAATCTGGTATTATTAAAATAAAAATCCTGTTAATTATAGAATTCTACCTATAATCCATTAAATGAGCATTATTTAGATTGATATATTAACATCTAATAAGAAGAGCTTCATATTTTAAAAGTGTCATTTTGCATACATTATCTTCAGGTAAAACAGCATCTCCCATCAGTATTGTTAATCTTCACAAGTTGCTCCCCTTGGCAACTCTTTAACCGGAAAAGGGGTGGCTTACCCAGAAGGGGATGAGCAGGCATTTTAATTAGGACACACACGTGGAGAACAAAGGAGTCTGAATAAAAATTCTCTTTCCAGTGCATATCCAAGTTCCTTTAATTTGAATTTACAAGCATCTTCTTTCTTAATTTGGGCAAAAGCACCAAGCAGTTTGGCTTAAAAAAAAAAAAAAAAAAAGAAAAAAAAAAAAGAATTTGTTTTGAGTTTCAGACTCCCTTATTTCTGCCAAATGAACATTTCACTTATCTTGCAAGAAAATCTTTAAATTATTGTTAGATTTAAACAAAAATTAAAACTTATATACCAAAGTTTTTAGTGGCTTATGTCCACAGCACATTGAAACACTGGTTCTTGTATGACCACTGAAGTTAAGCAACACTGAGCCTGATCAGTACCTAGATGAGTAACCGCTTGGGAATATCAGGCACTGTAAGCTTAGATATGTGGGTGGTGTAATGGATAATGGCTTGAAATTGTTAATCTGAGAACAGAGTTTCAGTTCCCATTGTATTTGTTATATTCACTTATGTGCAAATACTTTTGGGAAAAGTATGAAACCACCTCTTTGCCTTCCAGCAAATTAATTAGTAAGTTAATTAGTAAGTTTTGTATTGCTAAAACCAATATTATCTCAAAAAAATGTTTACAATCTAAAAATATTTTCTGGCTTTAAATAACTTGCAAAGGGTTGATAGGTCGTAGAAAACAAATCGGTCAAAAAACAATCTTGCATTCAATATGTCATGTGAGGTTCAAATTATCCAAGCCTTCTTTTCTTTTTTGCTTTCTGATTCTAAGTACAAGTGTCTTTTTGCTTCCATTTTTCTTAAAGCTTCCTCTCATGTTTTTAATAAACAATACTTGGTATAAAAGATTAACAAAAGTTGTGTAAGAAAATATGAAAAGAAAAATACTGAATTATTTCACTTGTGCAAGGCAAGTTAAGCAGGTTGCTGTCAGGTCAGTCAGATGTTTACACCTGTCAGATTTAACCTGACTGATATACGAGATTTTAATTTCAAGAAAAACATCTGATCTGTTCTTTTTGGAGACTCCCATTCAACTTTGGTCAAACAAGATTGTAGTTTGAAAGGAATCACTTACTGTGGCAAAAGAGAAAATTGCATTGCCTTGTCCAGTTCACACTCAACATTGGCTTTTTGAACAGGAGTAGAGGTATATCCTTTGTTCTTGGTTTAGGATTGGGTTTCCAGTTTCTTCTAAAGTCTACTTTAATTCTATACTTTTAACATCTCTGCCTAAAACTTTGAACTTTTATTTACTATTCCTTTTCCCAATAGGAGTAGATAGGTTTTCCTATTGTCTGGTTCACACTCGTCTCTGATCTTTTGAAAAGGAGTAGAGGTATATCCCTTGTTTCCTTTTTAGAATTGGGTTTCTGGTTTCCTTCTAAAGCCTTTTCCTTACCTTTGGGAAAGGCATGAATCCATCTCTTCTTGCTGCAGCTATAGGTTTAATAGGACAGACTGGGCTCTTCAGCCTTGGTTAATAGTCTTGAAGGAAAACTCTGAATTTAAATCCAGTTGGGTATGGAGTTAGCAACTCCATCCTGTAAAAACCTACTTGCTGCAGAAACCAGAGCAAATCTTTGGGACCAGTGAGTGATATTCCAGTACAAACAAAATTCTGTATTAACAAAACATCTTAGACTTTATAATATTATACATAAACATGAAGCATTTGTTTGACTGAAATTTGATGACTCTAAACCATTAATTTTATAATTATCATCATTTTAGTGATTTAAAAAAAAATCAATTCACCCCAAGCAAGGTGATAATGCCACTAAGACACAAAGGATTACTGGGCGTGAAAGAGAATGAGAAGGTTTTAATGAGGAGAAAAGACAATAAAAGAACAGGATTCTGGAAGAAGGAAAATAGTGATTGGCATTACATTTAAACTTTTGAAGAGGGAAGCAAGAAACTGGAAGAGAGTTCTTGAGGCAAAAAATATGAGAAAAGACACTATTAGAATAGAACTTATGGTTACGTCTAGCTTGTTCATCAGTAAAACAGTGAGACCTAATAGCCAATCTAATAGTATGCTTAAATCCATACAGTCAAGGCAACAAAGAGGAAAGCTCATTAGAACAACTGCCATGGAAATATTTATAGAAAACACAGAGAGATGCCATGTCATGGTGGTGGGAAAGTGACTGAAGTTGAGATGCCAGGTCAGGACTGAATATATTACAGATTCATTTTTGAGAATATCAAGATATAGTAGGAGCACCAGACCAGATATGGCAGCTTTATTCAATGCATGGATGAATGATAGTTTTATAAATGTGTAAGATGGATTCTGATGAGAAAAAATTGTCTGGCATGACACAGTGAACCACCTCTTCTAGCAGTAGACCTAGCAATTGATTCAATATAATCACTCAACTTCATGTCAGTGGAAAATGCAAACCCAAGAAGGTTTGAAGTGTTGCTCTCCTTAAAGTTAGCATTAGCCATACTGATGGAAGGTAAAAAAAAAAAAAAAAGAAGGTTCTCTATGGTTATTAAATAATAGCAGTTTTCTGTCTATATTTCTGAAATGAGGTATTATTATTACACATGGCCCAGTAGATAAAAGTGCTGGTTGGATCCAGTGACTTAATCCAAAGAGTTGTGAGTTCAATACCTGGCTACTGCAGTGGTGAACAAAAACATGGAGCTAAAGGGAGATAACAGACACCTGGAAGAAGCATGGCACGTGGAACTAGAACATATCCCGGTGGACAAAATAAAGAAATTCCAATCACCTGAAGAATGTCGGAGCATACAACAGCTGAAACATTGTGTATATGGCAACAAAAGTGAGGACAACAGTCTGAACAATGTAGATAGCAGTTTTGTTTTGGAGGCTTTAAAATTTACAAGCCATTCCTTGACACAGTTAACCACTGATTAGATATCATTTTTGAGAGCAGCTGTCAGTTACACTTTATTGAACCTATTGGACTTACTCCAAAGACAAGAGAAAATAGTGTTTGGGAACTGATGTCATTGAGAAAGCTGTTGATGAAGATGAGAAAAAAAGTAGGTCCTGAGATGGGACCCTGGGGACCCCCACAGTAATGTAATTTGATTTAGAAGCATGTCTGTTTAACATGGACTTTGTTATAGTATTTGTTAAGAACGATTGGATTAAGCCAAATATTTATCCAGAGATCTAGCCTTTGAGTGTGTGGAGAAGACTAGTATGGCAAACCCTGTTGAATGCTTTTGAGATATCTAAAGCCACAGATGGAGCTTTGATGTTCTTATCTAAAGCCTGAATGTTGGTACTTGCTGTTGGTAGAAACAAATTTTTTTCCGATGCTATGTAGAATTTATAACTTATTTTATCTGAATAAATATGTTAAAGAAAGACATGGAGTTAAAAGAGAATTTAAAAATGTCAAAATTTCCTAATGGAAAAAAAATAGATTACTGAAACTGAAAAAAAAAAACAAAAAAAAACAAAAACTGAAATTGAGAAGTTGTAAAGTATCCACAACATCATCTAGTTTTTTTTTTATTTGCATTCTATGCAATAAAGTCAACCATTATAGACTGAAAATGAATTTGAAAACATGCTTGTCACATATGAGTAGCAAATTCAATACTTTTGATGGACCATATCAGAAAACGTTTTCATTGAGAAAACTTGAAAAACAGAATACTTGAAAGCAGAAAACTTGAAAAAGTAATCAAATCATTATTTAATTATTTCACAAATTGTTTGAATTAATATGCGTTCTTTAGCTTTGTTCAGGTCTAATACTAATTCTTTTTTTGAATCAAACCAAATGAATAACAAATCTGAAGACAACCAAAAAATATTTCAGCCAAAATGATGGAATAAAAATATGATAATGATAAGGATATTTGTCTGAACTACTTGTAAAATAATGATAACTTGTTATAGAATTTTAAACAATATTTAGCAAGTAATGTTTTCATGGCAAAAAACATTTATTAAAAGCTTCATAATAATTTTAATTTAAGATATTTTGCTGAACCCAAAAATATAATCTAACAGAATAATTTTGATTGCCCTTTTCATTTTATCTCATTATTCTTTGAAAAAAAAAATAACCTCAAAAATTTATCACAAAGGCAGGGTAATAACTTGTAAGTGAAATATTTTATTTAAAATTAAATCACTGTAATCCTTTATTTACCCTTTTAAATACAGTTTAATAAATTTATTATCTTTTATTTAAAAAAAAAGTATTTGTGGAATCAAAAGATCAAACCATATTTAAAGAGATACTAATCTAGTTTCTGGATTATAAGATTAATCTATTTACAAGTTAATCAATAAGTTCATAGCCTAAACAATATTTTTTTACACAAAAAATATTTTTTCAATATAACCTTTTTCATTGTCAATATACTTAACACAATATTTCTCTATAAAGATAACAGATTGAACATTATACAATGAAAATTTCAGATCAAAATTGAGTAATAATTGTGTCAAGCTAGATTCATGGATCCACTCTCATATATGATGGCACATAAAAATAATTTTAGTTGATAATTTGAAAACTATATATATATTTGCATATATCTTTATTTTTCTATATTTGTTTTCATTGAATTAAAAGAAAAAAAGATTCATAAAATATTTTAAAAAATATATATAAATTGTGATTCTTAAAAAATATTAATGGTTTAATATCAGCAGAGATGAAAACTAATAAGAAGGACAAATAAATAACATTTAAAAAGAAGACAAAAATTTTCCAGTTATGTTATTTTTAAAGTGTTGACCCAATTTCATTTGACAAGAGTCTCAAGCCTTAAGCTTTGGTCTCGGGTGAGTGTGAGTGAGCAGCTTTGGTGCCTTTTTACTGGTAAAGGTGGACTGGTATGCATACACTACACAGAGGACGCAGTATGTGTAAAAGAAAGGTTTTGACTTCAGAACTCAAAGGTAGGTAAACAAAGAAAAGAATAGTTTTTAACTAATGCAGCAGAAAAAACTAAAAGAAAGTGTCTTTATTTCCATTATCAAAATACAATGATACTGGCTTTTTTTTTCTCATTTTTATTAATCAGATTTGCTTCCTTCAAAAATTTTATCAGCTTACCTTTTCAGCAAGCACATCTATAATGACATTTAAGAGAAATTAAATGTCAAATATAAAAATAAAATTATTTGTATGTTATTGCTTGTTTGTAAAGGCAATATTTTAAAGACTTGGAATTGTAAAAAAAAGTGTATGTAAAAGTGAGTTTTATGAATACATTAAAAAGTAAGTATAAATTTATATTTTGCTAATTGAGGTAAATAGTCATGGATTTTATTACAACTTTGTGCTCGATTGGGAAACATATGATTAAAATATCTCAATAATGAGAAATATACATTTAAGGTGTAAGTATATCTTAACACGTAATACTGGTTTCAAAGCTGTTGTCTTCTCTGTACG